GTTGGGTTGTCATGGACCTTGAGGAAGTTTGATGCAATTTGGGTGATTGTTGACAGGTTGACCAAGTCGGCACACTTTATTCCGGTTGTGATTACATATACTTCAGAGAGGTTGGCCCAGATATACATCCAGGAGATAGTTCGGTTGCACGGTGTGCCAATTTCTATCATATCAGATAGAGGCCCTCAGTTTACTTTACATTTCTGGAGAGCAGTACAGAGTGAATTGGGGACCCGTGTAGAGCTCAGCATAACTTTTCATCCGTAGACTGACGGGCAGTCAGAGCGGACAATTCAGATTTTGGAGGATATGCTCAGGGCATGTGTGATTGACTTTGGAGGTCAGTCGGATCGTTTCTTGCCTTTGTCCGAGTATGCTTATAATAATAGTTACCAATCTAGCATTGAGATGACTCCATTTGAAGCTTTATATGGTCGGTGATGTCGTTCGCCCATCGAGTGGTTTGGGCCCGGTGAGGCTAAGTTATATGGTATTGATTTGGTAAAGGATGCCTTGGAAAAGGTAAAGTTGATTCAGGAGCGACTTCGTACAGCACAGTCCAGACAGAAGAGCTACGCAGATCAAAAAGCGCGTGATTTATCATTTATGGTAGGTGGAAAAGTTCTCTTGAAGGTTTCGCCGATGAAGAGAATCATGAGATTTGGGAAAAGGGAGAAATTGAGCCCAAGGTTTATAGGCTCATTTGAGGTGTTGAGACGAGTTGGGGAGGTTGCTTATGAGCTTGCATTGCCTCCCAGTATATCGGAAGTTCATCCGGTTTTCCATGTATCTATGCTCCGAAAGTATCATGTTGACCTGTCACATGTGTTGGACTTCAACACAGTTCAGCTAGATAAGAGTTTGTAATATGAAGAAGAGCCATTTGCTATTGTTGATAAACAGGTTCGCCAGTTGAGGTCCAAGAGGATTTTTGCAGTAAAGGTCCAGTGGAGGGGTTAACCAGTCGAGGAAGCGACTTGGGAGGCCGAGGAGGACATGCGGAGAAAATATCCACACTTATTTAGCACTCCATGTATTATTCTAAACTCGTTCGAGGACGAACGTTTGTTTAAGAGGTGGAGAATGTAATGATCTAACCGGTCATTTTAACTTTTAGAAATCCATTCCTTAAAATAAAACTCCCTGAACATGCTTTTATTAATTTATGACTCGTGGGGATGGTTGGTTCGAGATTTGGAAGTGTTTGGGTTGAAATCGGAACACTTGATTCCTTAAGTTGGCTTTAAATGGCCAAGTTTGATTTCGGTCAACATTTTGAGAAAACGACCCCAGAATCGGGATTTGACGGTTCCAATAGGCTCGTATGATAATTTTGGACTTAGGCGTATGTCCGAATCGGGTTTTGAATAACCCGGGAGTATTTTGACGCTTAATAGTAAAATCGACTATTTGAAGGTTTAAAATTCTTTAAATTTATTTGGAGTAGATTTTTGAGTAATTGAAGTCTGTTTAGAATTTCGAGTTTGGGAATAGTTCCATATATTGATTTAAGACTTGCACGCAAAATTTCGTGTCATTCCGAGTAGTTTAAGTATATTTTGGCGCATTGAAAGTAAATTGAAGAACTTGAAATTCTTAAGTTTGAATCGATTTGGTTTAGGGTATGATTCTTAGATTTGATGTTGTTTTACGCGTTCCGAGAATTCGAGCGAGTCCATTTTATAATTACAAACCTGTTAGTATGTTCGAGCGGGCCCCCCGGGGTCCCGAGTGTTAACCGGACGAGGCTCGGACCAATTTTGGGAAATTGAGCAAGGACTGAAGCTCCCAGCTACTGTCATAATCGCACCTGCGCTTGGACAGCCGCAGGTGCGAGCCACCAATCGCAGGTGCGAATGAGAGAAGCCTGCCTATCCATGAGGTTAGTCTCAACTGTACCTCGTCACTACTCCACTAAGGTTAGTCTTGATACTTATTGGGTACCAACCGTGGTGTACTCATACTACACTTCTGCATATTTTTTTTTGCAGAATCGGGTATTGGAGCTATCGTACTCGGACAGAGTTAAAGTGTGATCGCAAGGATTCAAGGTAGAGCTACTTGGTCGTCGCAGTCCCTTGAAGACTTTTTATTTTATTGTACTGTTAATTATTAATCAAACAGTATTGAGTATTCGATCCTTGAGATCATTTCATGTATTCAGTTAGAGTTCGTGATTCAGTATTACCAATCTTGGGAGGTTGTTATATTTGTAATTATTTTCGCTGTTGGTTTATGTATAAAAAAAATTGGCTTGAATTATTATAAAATCGGCTTACCTAATCTTAGAGACTAAGTGTCATTACGACGTCTGTGGCGGGATTTTGGGTCGTGACAATATATTATTTTGGTATACAATATAAATTCGTATTTTTCGCTAGTTCAACTCAATTTCAACACAAAATTCTAAAATATATTCCAAAATCTCCACCAAATTGATTCAAAATATAATCACAACATCCAATCAATATTCAAGCACACTCCAATCACAACTGGATTGAGGTAACTACAAACTCAACAAATCCAATTAATAAATTTCAAGATCCTTCAATGGTGGATTTAATTTTCTCACAATAAAACATTCAAAAATTAGCATTAACATCATATTCTACACATCAAAGAATAATACCCAATAAATTCCAACAGCAAATACTTCAAACACACATAAAAATTCAAATCTTAGTTAGATAGAGCATATTATTTTTTATTTTACTTTGAGGAGATAAAATGAATTATGAAGCATAAATAAAAAAAAGTGGGTGATGGGAGCAAGAAAATATGTACAATACAATTAACATATAAATGCTATCTTTTTTGTGATTGAACTTCCGATTTGAAAATTGTAATTTTCCATTGAGCAAAAGAGGAAAATCAATTTTGAAACTTTTTAAAAGTGTTTTCTGCTTCTCCTTGAGAAATGGGTGGCGACAACAACTAGAATTGATGTCGTGATGCAAAAAGGAAAGCTAATTATGTATTGGGTTGGGCGGGTAATTATTTGTAATAAAATAGGTATTTTATGTAATTACTTTTAAAATGAATATATACCAGTAATTATTTTTGATTAATTAGGTAGGTATATAGGGTAGTTTCCATCTTTATCAAGGACTAGATCACAAAATGGCCCCCCCAATTATGTCTAATTACTTTTTGTTTCATTCTCAATACGTTAAAGGATCGTTTGGTTGATATTTGGAATAATGCAGTATTTGGTTGCCTACATAAAAGAAGAAGAAGTTATCTTGCATAATTAGTGATAGTGTATGGTTGACGGTATTAAGTAATACATGCATTACGGGAATTTATGTATTACTAGTCTTATGATATGCGCGAAATCTAATTCAGTATAAAAATAATATGCTTTCATTATAAAATTAATTTTTTTTTGAAAATATAAGTTACTGAAAATAATAAATATTGATCATATTTAGCTTGTCCATTAAATGAGAAATACGACTTTAAGTTTTGGTGTTTCCGCCAGCTATCGAAGTTATCTAATTGACCTTTTTTGAACTCTTAATATTTATTTCAACATTTTATTTAACTTTTAAATTTTATAATTTTAAAATTTTAGTATTTTTATGCTAATTATGTTTTAATTTTATGGTAAGAACTCAAATAAGCGCCTACATCAAGTGTACGAGGTTCTTTAATTATGTTTCCAAATATTACATAATTCTAGGACTTCCTATATATTTCAAATATGGAAAAATTTAGTAATTACAATTTTAGTAGTTTTTTATTTTCAATGTCCTAAATATTAGGAAAAATTTATTAAATGACTTGTGTCTAGTGTAAACTTTATTTTTATAAAGGGTAAAAAAGGCGAAGGATATTTTATTAAGACACTCGTGCTTTTAATATAGTATATAAATATAGATAGATAGATAAATTTTATGTACAATAGAATGTAGAATAAGAATGTGTACTAGCAATATTAGAGAGAGAGAGTGTGTTGCCAATATTTTTCAACTAAGAGCGAGGACTATTAACATCCCCAAACAAATGCATGGAACTTTTCCTAGAGTTCATATATTGGACTTCAAGATGTCTCCGAGAGTGGCAATGACAACAATAAGTTAATACCTCTAAAAAGCGATAAGGATCCACAAGCAATATTTTAAAAGACATTTTCGGGGAGAGTCCTGGGGCGAGGCGCACCAAAAACGCTCTGAGGTGCTGGTGTGGAGTGAAAATCTCAAGAGGCATACGCCCAACAATTTAGCGTATGCCCGGGCGTACATCCGGATATTTACGATGCATTTTTTAGTGAGACGTAAGCCCCAGAGACTTTATCAATTCAAACAAAATTTATTGAATAAGTCCTTCATATATACCCAAATTCTCAAAAGTTAGCTTGGTAGTTACTCAAAAAAATTTAAAAAGGAACTGAAATGTATTAAATTTAAAAGTCAAGACCTTTTTTATTGATTGAAACCCTAATTCATGGACTTTTTCAATTCTTTATCCGCTAGTCTGCTAATATCTTATTCAATATTTTTTACAAATACAAAGAGAACTACATTCTCCTTCATAGCAGCAAGTTCAAAGTTCAAATTGCAGGTTAGTAATCCTTTTTGTCCCTCCATGTAGAATTTTTTTTTTCTGACTCAAGTTATTGTGCTTCTAATTAGCATATAATAGATTGTTTTGACTAGTTTTTTGTGGGGATGGAGCACATCTATATATATATATATTTTTCGCATATTTATATTTTTCTTCAATTTTAATGCAATTTTACCCGTTTATAAATATTTACCGTAATTATATTATTTTATAAAATATTAAAAATTAAATATCCATGGGGCTTACGCCCCGTGCCTCGGGGCTTACGCCTCGCCTTATGCTCACGCCTTTTAAAACACTGTCCACGAGTAAACCAATTAGAAGAATGGCAGAATCAAATTTTGAACAAAGCATTCACAGGAATCAGGATATGAGTCATTGACAATAAAAAGCAAAGAAAAATGAAAAAAAACACCACACAACTAGAAGGGCTGTTAAACCAGAAATACTGCAGAAATTTCTCAAAATTTCCACCTGGATTACAAGAACAAGGTGAAAGATAAATAACAAACATCTAGCTCTTGCTTTCTCTTCCTTGTTTTCACGCTCGAACTGCTAATATAAGACATGCTACAGAGACATTACAAGCCAATAATATAATTCTTGTGGCAGCAAAATGCTTATCTTTTGATTAACTTCATTCTGGCACGCTCTTAATGCTTTTAAGCACATATCAAGAGAATTCATGTGACAGCTTTTTGAGTGTCTGTTACATTTTCATCTTGGCCTATATCTCATATACCTTTTGACTCTAAGATATAGTATACAAAAATGAATGATTTCCCTAGAACCTGTGTACCATGACTGTTGCAAAAGAATTTGAAGATATACATCCTTTTATATGTACGACCAGAGACCACAGTATCCCGCCATACTGCATGACCTCCGTCTGCAGGTGTTGGCATCAATACCACAATTATCATCACTGAAACATCGATGATCAGCACGAGTATCAGGGATGTGGCAAGCACTTTCAAGTCGCCTTTCATTTGATTCATGGTGAATCATAGCAGCTGGACAAACTCGAAGTGACATGGCACTGGTTCGTTTTATCTGCTCTCCGTTCTACACAAGTTAAATAAATCATCATTCTTTGAGCTCATGTTTATCTGCTTTTACTAGCGTAAATGACAAAAGTTGTGCAATCAACTAAGCAAGAACTTGTGAACAGACCAAAAACAACGGGAAAGACAAAGGTAGACACACTCAGCAACATGACAAGAACAAACGGACCAAGTCCTTTGTAAGTTATCAAGCAATGTTCTGCTACTTGATAAAAATCATGATCCTATTTTCTTTAAATGTATCTCGTTAATGTACTAGTAAAGAGAGACTTTGTGAGTCCATGAGAATATAGGTAAAACCTATTTCAGTTAATCAGTTGACCCAATTATAACCCAGAGTTCATAACTAACCATTTTGCCAGCAATGTGGAGCCATAATTTGTTTCCTCCCCCCCACAATAGAACTTGTCTGAGGAAAACACATGAAAAATTGTTAAAAAAGGAGAACCCATGGGACTGCCAACTAGCAGTCAACCACCTACAGAACTCTAATGGTTACCAATTGACCACAACTGATTACCATCAAATTTCTAGTCTAGGTTGAGACGGCCTAATAATGTTTAGAAAACATTCTTATAGGAAAGAAAATAAAGTGCTTTTACTGGCCTTCGATTAAGAAAACGCCCAACTAATAGAATCTTAATCACCCAAGCCCATTTAAACTGATTGTCATAGGATAGTTTATCGAGTCTTTTCAACTTGCACTAATTGAGCACACATCTACACGATTCTCACATGCACAATGAACTTCGATCTGTAGTATTGAATTCAGAGAGAAGAAGAATAGAGAAGAGAAGACAAATTGAGCACACATCTACACGATTCTCACATGCACAATGAACTTCGATCTGTAGTATTGAATTCAGAGAGAAGAAGAATAGAGAAGAGAAGACAAATTGAGCACACATCTACACGATTCTCACATGCACAATGAACTTCGATCTGTAGTATTGAATTCAAAGAGAAGAAGAATAGAGAAGAGAAGATCAGTAGCTCATTTTTGTTATGTTCAGTGATAACCGACTTAGTCCTCTTTATAGACTAAGTTGGTTATCACTCTTGTACACCTCTTAGTTATTCTAATTACACTTTAGTCCAACTAACTAATTAGCAACTACAACTACTAACTAATTAGCAACTAACTTCTTATTTCCACACTCCCCTCAAGCTGGAGGGTGAAAGACATTGAACACTCCCAGCTTGGATATCAAGGTTCTGTGCTGCTCAGTTCCCAGGTCATCACATCTGCGAGCTGTTCTTTAGTGGAAATGTACTGAGGTGTAATCAAACCATCCTTAATTTTTTCTCTCACAAAATGAGAGTCAATCTCTATATGCTTCGTTCTCTCATGATAAACTGGATTAGTTGCTATTTGCATAGCTGCTTTGCTGTCACAATGTAGTATTACTGGTTCCTTCACAGTTAAGCCCAGCTCCTTTAGTAATCCTACCAACCATACCAATTCTGAAGTTACTGCTCCCATGCTTCTATATTCTGCCTCAGCAGAACTCCTGCTCACAGTTGGTTGTTTCTTGGATTTCCAGGAGATCAATGAGTCTCCTAGTTTTATCACATATCCAGTTACAGACCTTCTTGTGTTTGGGCAAGCTGCCCAATCTGCATCACAATAGGCTGTAACACTTTCAATGATCCTTTCTTCAATAATATCCCCATTCCTGGTGAACCTTTAATGTACCTCACAACTCTCAGTGCAGCATCTAAATGCAATTGCTTTGGATGCTGCATGAATTGACTTAGAACTTGAACTGCAAAACATATGTCTGGTCTGGTAATAGTGAGGTAAATGAGTTTCCCTATTAGTTTCTGATAGCTTACAATGTCTTGCAACTCCTCATCTCCTTTAGTCCCTGCATGTTTATCATATTCAACAGTTGTCAATTTTTGGTTTTGTTCCAATGGTGAGCTAGCTGGTTTAGCCCCACTTAACCCAACTCCTGAAATCAGCTGAAGAGCATACTTCCTTTGATTAAGTATGACTCATGTTGCTAACCTCATGAGCTCAATTCTCAGGAAGTATCTAAGTTCACCTAGATCCTTCAACTTGAAATGTTTGTGTAGGGTTGATTTTGCTTCTTCCACCAATGTGTTGTTGCTGCCAGTAATCAACAGATCATCCACATATACAAGGATGATCAGCAGTTCTGCACTTGTCTTCTTTGTGAACAAGGAATGATCATAGGCACTTTGAGAATACCCTGCACCTATCAGGGCATCAGTCAATTTTATGTTCCACTGTCTCGATGCCTGTTTGAGACCATAAAGAGACTTAAGTAGTCTGCAAACTTTATACTCCCCCTGCCTATGGAATCCCTGAGGCAAATCCATGTAAACCTCCTCATACAAATCACCTTGCAAGAAGGCATTGATTACATCCATTTGAGACAAAGCCCATCCTTTAGAGTCTGCTAGGTTTATCACAGTTCTGACTGTTACCATTTTGGCAACAGGTGAAAATATTTCATGGTAATCTAACCCCTCCTGTTGTGTATATCCTTTGGCAACAAGCCTGGCTTTGAATCTATCTACTTCACCATTGGCTTTGTGTTTGATCTTGTACACCCACTTTGAGCCAATAGTTTGCTTTCCTGGAGGCAGGTCTACTATTTCCCAGGTCTTGTTTTCTTCAAGTGCCAGAATCTCTTGCTTCATTGCTTCTATCCACATGCCATCTTGAGAAGCTTCCTGAAAGGACTTTGGTTCCATCTGAGCTGAGAATGACCCAAGATAGCATTGGTAGTGTTCTGATAAGTGATCATAGCTCACATAATTGGAAACTGGATAGAGGCTAGTTCCTTTTGGTTTACATGAAGTCACATAATCTTTGAGCCATACTGCTGGTTTTATTGTTCTTGTTGACTTTCTGCTCCCAGTAGGCTGTGGCACAACTGATGACATTGGTTCTGTGAGAAGGCACGGGAGAAAATATGTTATTGATATTGGATCATAAATACAATACAAGAGGTCCCTATTTATAGCTATACACTACAAGGAGATATTACTCCTCTTCCAATGTGGGACAAAACTACACTATACATATCTATAAACTAACACTCCCCTCAAGCCGGTACATACACATGTACCTAATACGAGAACCAGTAAGAGACTTAGTGAAAATATCTGCTAGTTGATCATTTGACTTTACA